GTTGTTTTTTCATACTTTGGAGCCCAAACTCAATAGGTGACAAAACCTGACCTGCACTAGTGTGAGGCTATTTATAGTCTTTATTCACACTTGGTGTGAATTTTCATATCTTTCACTTCAGAAATATTAATGTTTCATTACCATGCTCCAGGCCTTTCTCAATAAATATATAATATAGACTATATAAAGAGTTATGTTTGACTAGTTTTTTTAAAGAGTTATGTAATATCAGTTACATGTCTTCCTTTCTCAAACTGAAAAAAACTCTGAATTCCACAGCACATCTGGCCCTAAGGCTGGAAAATGGATTATGGATATGCAAGTGCTATGAAGAGAATTCAAATATGCAATGGGATAGTGTCTAGGTGGCTACAGTTTGAATATTTAGGGAGGACCCCTCTGGGAAGGTGATATTTACGCTTAGTTCTGAATGAAAAAAAAGATAAAGGCAGTCATACAAAGATCAGGGGAGAGCATTCCAAGCAGAGGGAGCAGCTAATGCAAAGATGAACACAAAGGAGGCCACTGTGGCTACAGCATATTAGGCTGGATGAAGAGTGCTATAAATTGATGGAAGTACTTCATGTAGATAGGAAAATTGTGAGTCCGGTGTGCTAAACCCTTTGGTAAATACTGCATAGTGATTATGAGTGTGGTGGCTGTCAACAACTAGAAGGCCTGGAGGGGAATCTTCCTGGGTGAGAAAGCAGGTGGGGGGAGATATTTCAGATAGAGAAAACATAAAGCAGTTATGAGGCTGAAATGGTAGGCTAAGATTTATGGCCTCAAGACCTTGGTTTGAGGAAAAGTATAGAAGGAAGACAGATTAGATATCTGGGGCTCAAGACTCTAATGACATAGCTTCTGGTAGCTGGCTGAAAGATGTTCTAGGATGACCAAGACCTGGGTCTTAAATAATAGTCTCCGGTTGAAGTCCAATCTGCAGTGTGTGATCTGGGCTTTTGGACTTAAAATAAATTAGACAAAGACAGAGGACAGTAGCAACGCCTGAACTGATGAAAGATGTTTTTGCCTCTTTAGGTTTGTGCTTCTCAGCAGCTGTCCTAGAATGTCTGTCTCCAAGCGACTCTCTTAGCGGCTCTCCACATTCATCTCTCTGTGATCCTATCTGGCATCTCTCTTCCTATCTATCTCGGCCTCAACATATTTCTCTTTACATGGCTCTCTCTCTGTAACTCAGATTCCTCATCTTTGGATCTCCTTGTCTGAATGTCCCAGAATCTGGTTCCGTCCATTCGTCTGTGTCTGTACTGTAATAATTCTCTTTCTCCAACTGGACTGTGCCCTCCTGGAAGGCATGAATCTTTTATTATTCCTCTGGGTATCTCAGGTGCCCCGCACACAGTCTAGCATATAGGAGTCTCAAATACATTCATACTCGAAGGCAGGCTTTTTCAGAGGAGAAAGGCACCGGTTCTCAATATCCACCCCTCTTCCCCCACGCGGAGCGGGCCACTTGCCAAAAGGTCACCTAGAGAGTAGGGCGAGGGGTGTTGTGGTATTGTACTGCTGCTATTGGTCTCTTTCCCCAGCTGAAATAACTCTCTGGGGATACCTTAGCAGGAGGAATTCGCCCTCTGACCAAGGTACTAAGGTACCAGGCCACGCCCCCACGTCTCACGCGGCAGCGGCAGACGCCCCGCTCCATCGCAACCGCCCCTTCCGCCGCTTCGCCTCGGCCAATCAGCGAGCGCCTGCGCCCCCATCCGGTGGAGTGGCCGGCGACAAGATGGCAGCAGCGTGTCGGAGCGTGAAGGTAGGTTCTTTGCCTCTGTTGCTTGCCTTCCTTTACGGGCCGGGTCAGCGCGGCCGTGAAACTAGGAGAAAGAGATCGGTTTCGGGGGAAAGGGTGATGCTTATGTAGGCCTGGTATTGTGGCCGTTGGGCTCAGGAGGTGAAAGTAAACACTCCGCGGCTCATCTGTCTGTCTGTCTATCTATCTATCTACCTATCTATCTATCTATCTATCTATCTATCTATTTATCTATTTAGGGTCACGGGACGGGCTGTCTGGGGATGAGATTCCCCCTGCCCCCGAGGTCCCAACGGTGAGGAGAAGCGGCACACCTGGTTTACCCGCAGGGGTGACCACTACCGCTCCCCTCCCCCCTTCTCCTCAGAAGGCTGGAGAACAGGCAGGTGACAGCGTGGGGATGGTATGGTCAATGTAACAGCTGACCCTGACCGTGTCGCTTTTGACAGGGCCTGGTGGCGGTAATAACCGGAGGAGCCTCGGGCCTGGGCCTGGTCACGGCGGAGCGACTGGTGGGGCAGGGAGCCTCCGCTGTGCTTCTGGACCTGCCCAACTCGGGTGGGGAGGCCCAGGCCAAGAAGTTAGGAAACAACTGCGTTTTCGCCCCAGCCGACGTAAGTGGGGTCACCTCTCCTCTCCCAGGGTGTGCATGAGGTCACCAATACCGGCCTGGGAACCTGTGGGGGTCCCTCCCATAAGGGTCTCCTCTATGGGGCCGGTGGACCCATCTCCTTGTCTCTTTTGGCCTGAGCCTTCAAGCACTGTGAGACCACCTGTGATAAGGATTCTCTAAAGCTGGGATTCACAACAATGAGGATGGGGATTGGACATAACAATCTCCTGGAGGAGTTATGTATGATTTGAAAATGCATATTGTGCCTTGTAATTTTATATTTACAAAGTCAAAAAACTTGTTTTCATGAAACAAACTACAGAAAGTAAAACTTGATGAATCATCTTAGCAGGTAAGGATACAAAAAAGCCAGTTTATCTTCCTATCAATAATTCTCACAACAGGGTTATTTTTTATTTTTATTTTTGAGATGGAGTCTCGCTGTGTCGCCCAGGCTAGAATGCAGTGGCACAATCTCAGCTCCTTGCAACCTCCACCTTCTGAGTTCAAGCGATTTTCCTGCCTCAACCTCCCAAGTAGCTGGGATTACAGGCACCCGCCACTACGCCCAGCTAAGTTTTTTTTGTGTTTTTAGAAGAGATGGGGTTTCACCATGTTGGCCAGGCTGGTCCTGAACTGCTGATCTCAGGTGATCTGCCTGCCTTGGCATCCCAAAGTACTGGGATTACAGGTGTGAGCCACTGCACACGGCCTCACAACAGGGTTGTATTAGTGCTCTGATCCACAGCAATTAAGAATCTTCAGGAGCATGTGAATTTATCAAGAGGGTATTGATTTGAAAAATGTTTTGCAACATTGCTCTACATTACCTAACATTTTCACCTTTGACCTACTCTCTCAATTTTTTTTTTTTTTTTTTTTGAGACAGAGTCTCACTGTTGCCCAGGCTGGAGTGCAATGGCACGATCTCGGCTCACTGCAACCTCTGCCTCCTGGGTTCAAGCAATTCTTCTGCCTCAGCCTTCCAAGTAGCTGGGATTACAGGCATGTGTCACTATGCCAGCTAATTTTGTATTTTTAGTAGAGACGGGGTTTCACCACATTGGCCAGGCTGGTCTCAAACTCCTGATCTCAAGTGATCCACCCGCCTTGGCCTCCCAGTGCTGAGATTACAGGCATGAGCCACTGCACCCAGCCTATCTCTCAAGTTTTACAACCTTTTCTCTTGGCCTATCCCTTCTCACAAATCTCTTCTCACCCAAGTACTGGGCATGCCCTGCCCTGCCCTCCCTCAAGTTTAGTGGTGAGAGTGTGTGCTGGGAGATGAATACCTTCTCCACTTCTCCCTTTGAAGGTGACCTCTGAGAAGGATGTGCAAACAGCTCTGGCTCTAGCAAAAGAAAAGTTTGGCCGTGTGGATGTAGCTGTCAACTGTGCAGGCATCGCGGTGGCTATCAAGACATACAACTTAAAGAAGAACCAGGCCCATACCTTGGAAGACTTCCAGCGAGTTCTTAATGTAAGGCCTTGGAAGTTCTCCAGGGATAGTGGGAGTAAGAGGTGTCTGGCTGTGGAGGACCCCAAAGTTTTTAGGGGACAAAGGCTTCTTCTGCCTCAGGTCCTATACTGTGTCTCTACCTGTCCTACAGGTGAATCTCATGGGCACCTTCAATGTGATCCGCCTGGTGGCTGGTGAGATGGGCCAGAATGAACCAGACCAGGGAGGCCAACGTGGGGTCATCATCAACACCGCCAGTGTGGCTGCCTTCGAGGGTCAGGTGTGTGGGCAGGGGCAAGACTTATGCCTCCTAAGTGACTTGTTGGGGCCCTCCCACCTATGACCTCTACTCTTTCTCCAGGTTGGACAAGCTGCGTACTCTGCTTCCAAGGGGGGAATAGTGGGCATGACACTGCCCATTGCTCGGGATCTGGCTCCCATAGGCATCCGGGTGATGACCATTGCTCCAGGTAGACATATCCCCTCTCTCCGTCACACCTGGGATTGGGTGGGATCCATGGACAGTTGAGAGGAGAAGGTATTCACCACCTAAGCAACAGCAGCCTTTTATCTTTGGGCCCCAGGGAAGCACCAAGAAGTAGGGCTAAAGTGAGGAAGAATGAGGTAAATATGAAAGCAAGGGTGAGTCTCTGAATTTGGCTATATTGTTTAGGTCTGTTTGGGACCCCACTGCTGACCAGCCTCCCAGAGAAAGTGCGCAACTTCTTGGCCAGCCAAGTGCCCTTCCCTAGCCGACTGGGTGACCCTGCTGAGTATGCTCACCTGGTACAGGCCATCATCGAGAACCCATTCCTCAATGGAGAGGTCATCCGGCTGGATGGGGCCATTCGTATGCAGCCTTGAAGGGAGAAGGCAGAGAAAACACACGCTCCTCTGCCCTTCATTCCCCTGGGGTACTACTCTCCAGCTTGGGAGGAAGCCCAGTAGCCATTTTGTAACTGCCTACCAGTTGTCCTTTGTGCCTAATAAAGTCTCTTTTTCTCATAGAGTGTAGGCAGTGTTGTGTGCTAGGGGGCCTGGCATGGGGAAGAAATGTGAAGGCTGTGACAGGGTTGGATGCTCAGAGCTCCAGGGTGGGGTGGGAAAGGCAATACCTTCATAATACTTTTTGTGTCCTGTTACAACACGTGGACTTGATTTTGAGTGAAGAACTTTATTACCTAGGTTAGAAGGTGGGAGTATGCAGCATTTTTCTCTTTGACTCCTAACCGCCTGTGAGCTTGATGAAGGAGAAGGAAGAGATAAACATCCTGAACTTAGCGGCTGCTGGTGTTAAACTGCCGGTGATACTGGGCTGTAGGTTGATTGGTATAGATTACTGAATTCAGGTAATCCTGCCTGTGAAAGAAGTCCAGAGATCTCAGCTGACATGCTTTCCCTCTCTCCCTGGTTCCTCACCATCCCTCTTCTCCCTCCCTTGGCATTTATCTCCACCACCACCACCTAGAACTCACTGGGCTTTTTGCTCATTAGCCAGCTGCTGGTTGAAGGAGCCTAGACCCCTTTGAAATACAGCACACAATTCCCTCTCCTGCTCTTCTAGCTCCAGCAATGCCTGGGCTGAACTCATGGTCTGGCTTTTCCATTCAGTATCCAGTGTTTTCTCAGCCTGACGGTGAGCTTCCTTCTTAGAGCGTTGTACTTCCTGCTCTTTCCTGATGGCAGCTCGCTGCTCTGAAGTCATGCCCTTCCAGCAATAGGGCAGGACCCGGTGGGGAGCCGTACGGTGTTGGGCGACCTGGGGGTTTTCAGTCAGTAGGTCACTTGTGCTCTGGTGCCGGATCTCCGCAAGGTTGGCCTTCTGTTCACGCTGACGCTCACAGCGCTGACGCCTAGCCTGCACAGCTGCCTGGTGGAGCCCCCAAATGCAAACATTTGGGTGCCCAACCTCAGGGAACTCTGTCACAGGGGAGGGGGGAACATGGCCCTACTCCTCCATCTCAAGGAAAGAAAGAACACATACTACATGGCCTTTCAATGCCCCTAACGTATGTGTTGGGGATAATGGGCAGGGAACTTCTCTGCCTTCAGGAAACCTTTAGACTGAGAAGCGGAGGATGAGAGGGCAATGTTCTGTTCTCAAGTCATCCTGCTTCTGGAGGTGGGGAGAGGTGACTTGTACCCTAAGAGGGGCCTTTGGTGAAAGGGGAGTACTCAGATGAGAGGGCTGATGCTGATTGAAGAGGGGATATAAGAGGAAGAATGTGGCTAAGGTTCCCCAGGACTTTGTTCAGCAGTTGGGGAGAGCCCAGGGTACTGGATGGCTCAGGCCATACCTGCGCTTTGTTGGCGTTGGCCATGGCACACATCATGGCCGCACGACAGGACTCCTCCAGCCTGGCCAGATGGGTGGCCTGCGCGTCCATGGCGAGGCGCAGCTGGTTACTGAGCGCATCTACACAGAGAAATATGGCCGGGGTACTGTACTGGCTTGCTCCATTCCTGTTTCACTCATCCAGCCATTTGTTCAGCAAGTTTTGTGTTTGTGTGTGTACAAATGTTTAGGAGGGGGGTAGTGTCTGAGTTGTAGGGATGTGGAAGGAACTACTTCCACATCCCTTGGCTAGGAACAGCCAAGGTGCAGCAACAAGGATTTCTCAAGTGCATAACTAAAAGATGCCTCCAATGGACCTGGGTCCCAATGTCAGCTCTGTTGCTTCTGAATTGTGTGATTTTGGGTAAATCATTTCATATCTCTGAATCTCAGTCTAAGGGCCATGTGTTGGGTTCTAATGATACCATTGAATTAAATCCTATCCTCAGATAACTCCCTGATCAAACTAGATAGACCACAATCTGGCAAGAGCAATGGCAGCGATGTACACAGGGTATTAAGAGGATTTTGGGTGGTGGAAAAGAGGAAGGTTTCCAGGAAGAGGTGATCCTTGAAATACATTTTGTATACAGGCTAAAAGAGCAAAGGGCATTCCAGGCTGAGGGCATGGCATGAGCAAAGGTACTGACAATTTGTTTCTGCTTCAGCCACACTGAGCTCCTTGCTGTTCCTAAGACCTGTCAGACACTGTATGGGAGATGGGTAGACATGAAAGAGATGGTTCATCTTCAGTAGTCTGACATTTTAGGGAGAAGACAGATATTAAACAAATACTTTAACAATTAGCTACAACTAAAATAAGTAGTCCAACAGAACAGAGTGCTGTAACAGGGTTGATGTGAAGGGTGAACAGTGCAAGCAGGTTAAGACATGGTCCTTACCCTTGAAGGGCTTCTTCTAATGGAAGAAAAGGATGTGGCCACAGATAATATCATAATAGTAGCTACTCTATGTGTTATAGATTATTATTCTCATTTTAAAGATGAAGAAACTGAAGCACAGAAGGGAAAATTCATTTGCCCAAACCAGCTAGTAAGCGGCAGAGCCATTAGATCTGTCTGCACTGTGCTGCCTCCAGGTAATAGAGTGCCAAACTAATCAAGAACAATGCTACACTGTCAGTTACTGAAGGAAGTCAGGGAGGTTGGGGTCTGCACAACCTAACATTTCAGCACCAACCCTATGGATAATTGGACCTCCCCACACAGTTCTGGTCCCCTGGGTGCTGTACTCAGCTTAGGACAGATCCCCACTAGGCCTCAGGTCTCGGAGTCTGGAGGGTCGGGCTGCTTACCTGCACAATTCTCATCAACCTTGGCTTGCTGTTGCTCCTGCTGCTGCCTTTCCAAGTTGTACCTGAACTGCCCCTGCTGCATTCTCAGCCGTGTGGCCCTGTCTAGGTCTTCCCCAGAGAAGTACTGCAGGCTGGCTGGACCAGGATAGGTATTACTGTAACTAAGATAGGTTGGAAGCCCCTTCCAGACTTGGTCTGGATCCCAAAGACTAAATTCACGCCCGTTCTTGAGCTGCTGCTTCTGCTCCCGAAACTCCTGGACTTTCTTGGCCAGCCGACGTGTTCGATCTGCCTCTTCCTTCTCTAACATCTGGACTACCACATCATACTGCACCTGGCTGGTACCTGGGGGTGGTGAGCAAGGATATGGAGAAGATACCCCAGGAGGGACAGAGTCCACTTAGCATGGCCTCTACTCTCAAGGTCCATCCGGTTTGTCCCACCACCCCAGGGCCTCAGGCCACACTCAGAGGCAGAACTGCCCTACCTCAGCCCAGTCGAGCTCTTTCTTTACACCCTTGTCTGGCCCCTGGCTTTGGGCTTTTACCATAAGCTGCCTCCTTGCTTCTTTCTGCTGCTTCCCGACGCTTTCGGTCTCCCACCTGGTTGTTCAGGGCCTGGACATCCACCTGATCCCAAAGAAAGGAGCACAATCAGAGTAGGGGCCCAGCAGGGGGCCTTCAATGTCCTACCACAAACTTCTTAGAACTTACCTGTTTCAGAATCCTCCTGTAGCTCCCCAGTACCTACTGGATAAAGTTCTAGCTCCTGAGCATGGTTTGCAAGCCTCTCCATGGTCTAGCCTCTGCTTCCTTCTCTGGCCTCATCTCTTAGTACCCTCTTCCCCTGTCCCACCTTACCCTTCTGAGCTGTGCTTACAGTTCCCTGAATATCTTAGGCTGTTTTGAACCAATAGCCTTTGCTCAAGCTGCTCCCTCCACTTGAAACATTTTCCTCCCTTCTTTACACAAATCCCAATTCGTCCTTCGAGACCAGCTCAGCCTTCACCTTCCTGACCCCTCAGGCAGGTTCTACTCCCATAGAATCTAGAACCCACTGTCTACATTATATTGAAGTTCGCCTCTCTGTATTCTCTCCTCCACCAGACTGTGAGCCCTTTCAGGGCCTTAGCCATTTCTGTATCCCCACTGCCCAACACAGTGCTAGGCACAGAACAGGCCCCGAGGAAATGCTTGTCAGCTGGATCTCAATCAGACCGCTAATACTGTAGCCAATTTCTTAAGGCAGGCACTATGAACTGGTTTTCAAAGCTGCCACTGTGTGTTAATACCCACCTGACTTCCTTCAGCCTCATTTTACAGAAAAGGAGCCTGGGGCTCAGAGAAGATAGGTGATTTATCCAAAGCTACACACACAACAGTCAGCAGACCTGGCCTTAAATAGTTACGGGGTCTTTTCCAGAATACCATGCTGCATCCCCCCTCTATCCACTCACCTAACAATCTTTTGTTTCTTTTTTTTTTTTTTTTTTTTTTTTTAATGGGTTTTCCCTCCTCTTTCAATTTTTTTTTTTTTTTTTTTTTTTTTTTTTTTTTGCTCTGCCCCCCCGGGTTCACGCCATTCTCCTGCCTCAGCCTCCCGAGTAGCTGGGACTACAGGCGCCCGCCACCTCGCCTGGCTAATTTTCTTGTATTTTTAGTAGAGACGGGGTTTCACCGTGTTAGCCAGGATGGTCTCGATCTCCTGACCTCATGATCCGCCCGTCTCGGCCTCCCAAAGTGCTGGGATTACAGGCTTGAGCCACCGCGCCCGGCCATTGTTTCTTAAACTATCAATATTTTCTCTTTATTTTGATTGTAATTCATTTATCACATTTCAAAATCATACAAAAAGGAATACAGTTTAGTGAGGAGTAAGTGTCCCTCCCATCTCTGTCTCTCAGCCTGGTTAACAGTTTCTTAACATAGCCTTGCAGAGATAGTTTAGGTATATGCAGTAATTTTGAGACAGGGTCTCACTCTGCTGCTCAGGCTGGAGTGCAACGTTGTGATCTCGGCTCACTGCAACCTCCTCCTCCTGGATTCAAGTGATTCTTGTGCCTCAGCCTCCCAAGTAGCTGGGATTACAGGCATGCACCACCACGCCCAGCTAATTTTTGTATTTTCAGTAGATACAGGGTTTCACCATGTTGGCCAGGCTGGTCTCAAACTCCTGACCTCATGTGATCTGCTCGCCTCAGCCTCCCAAAGTGCTGGGATTACAGGTGTGAGCCACTGCACCCGGACTCCAAATATTCTTTAGGCCTCTTTTAGCTCCATGTTGCCTGTCCCAAGAACCAGGTCACATGGCCCTGAGCTGACTGGAGAAGGGTCAGCCGTCTCCCCTAGTCTCTTCCCCTGCACTGACCCATCCTTCTTCCCAAGCTCTTTCCAGGCCTGTAGGGGTGGGTGCCTTCTCTCCCTTTCCTTCCTTTCCCACCCTAGGGGCCTGCTTGAATCAGGGGAAGGGCTATCATGGGCACTGCTACACATTCCTCTCCAGGTGTAAGAGTGAGGTGGCCCTGATCCCGAGCAACAGTCCCTACTACCCACTCACCCCTATGACTCGGTTCCGCACATTGAAGAATCGGTTTTGTCGCTCTTTTTCTCGATTTCTTCTGGCCTCGATGGCTGCTGCTTCCTTGGTATCTGTTGACTGGTTTATGTTATACATCTGGAGCAAAAGGGAGGTGGAATGGCCCATCAGTGCCAACCACCATCTTTGACTACACGCCACCCGCATTCCTTTCTCCCTATAATATTTCAGCAGTTATTGATTCCTACTGATTTTACTTCCTGATATATTTCATATCTGTGCCCCCCATCTCTGCTGTCACCAGCTTAATTCAGGCCTCACAATCTGGTGTCAGGAAATATCTCAGGAGCCTCACTGGGCTCTCTTGCTCCAACGTTACCCTCTCTGCACTGGATTTCTCTACACTGGCTACCAGAGTGATCTTTGGGAAGCAAATCTGACCATGGCACTCCTCAGCATAAAACTTTTGAAAGCACCTTTAAAGCAAATGGCTCCCCAGTGCTTATAAGGCCCAACCCCTTTGCCAGATTTATAAGGTTCTTCATGATCTGACCCCTGCTCACCTTTCTAAGCCTCAAACACATCTACAACACTCCTTTTTCATTATACTGTACTCAGTTTTCCTTATTTCAGTTAAGTGGCACCACCATTCACCAAGTTGCTCAGGCCAAATCTAGGAGAGATCCTTTAATCCTTCATTTCCTTCACTTCCTCTTCTTTCAAAATAACCCTGGTCCAAGCCACCATCGCCACCTTCCTGAATAACCACAACTGTCTCCATGTTGGTATTCCAGCTTCCTCTATTGACTCCTATAGCCCAATCACAGAAACCAGAAGCAGCTTTCTTTTCTGAAATATATGTCCCCCTCTTTTTTTTTTTTTATTACTTTTATTACTTATTTTCTGGTCAAATGAACGGCTAGAAAGCTTAAATTTGCCTGTGTTCTTTCATATTTTGGGAAGCTCACTTTTGGCATGTAACCCAGCCAAAGCTGTAGTCAAAAAAACTTTAGCAAACATAAATCTGATCATGTCTCTCACCTGCTTAAATCCTCCACTAGCTTCCCACTGTACTTAGAATCAGATCCAAACTCCTTACGGTGGGCTTTCAAGATCTAGTTCCTGCACACCTCTCCAATTTGTCTCAAACCACCGTCTCCCTTGCTTACAGTGCTCCAGGCACACTGATCAAGTCCTCCAACACAGTAACTGTTCCCACCCCAGGGCCTTTGTATGTGCTGTTCCTTTGTTTGGAGCATGATTCTTTAATTCCTCCTATAGCTATTTGGATCTTTTTGGGGTGTGTGTGTGTGTGTGTGTGTGTGTGTGTTCCATTTTGTAACTGAAGTAGTTGATACATACAGGAGAACATATATAACCCATATATGTAAGTTAGGATGCATGATAACATAGAAATCCATGAACTAACTCCCCAGCTAAGAAACAGAACATTATTGATACCACTGAAGTGTCCTGAGTCTCTTCCCCCTCATCCTTACTCCAAGAGCATTCCACATACTATCCAAAATGTGTTACCATTCCCTCTCTCTCTCACTGTGTTGCCCAGGCTGGTCTTGAACTCCTGGGCTCAAGTGTTCCTCCTGCTTCAGCATCCTAAAGTGCTGAGATTACAGGTGTGAGCCACCTGTAATGCCCGGCCTGACAAGAACATTTTTGATGGAGTTCTGGGGATGAAACTCTGATTGAGGTGGGCTCAAGAGAGACTAGGACTGCAGGACAAACAACTCAGCTAATTTTTTTTTCCCAAGAGAAAAAGACAGAAGGACCTATAAATTTTAAGATTTATATATACAGGGTGGAAGTTTCTCTAGTATATACCTAGGAGTGGAAGTGCTGGATCATAGGGTATATGCATATTTAACTTTACAAGATACTGCTAAAGTTGTTTTTCAAGGAGATTGTAATTTACACTTTCACAATAGTGTATAAAAATTCTAGTCATTACACATTGTCACCAACACTTGGTATACCAGACTTTTACATTTTTGCCAATTTGTGGGTACAAAATTATAATTACTTGTTTTAATTGGAATTTTCCTTAATAAAGTTCTTTTCATGTGTTTTTTTTTTTTTTTTTTTTGACCATTTTTATTTACTTCTCTTTGGAGTTGCCCGGCATTCATATTGTTCATTTTAAAAAAAAATCAGGGTTTGTCCTTTTTTTTTTTGCTTGAGCAGTTGTCGTCCCACTCTGTTAATTGCCAAGGCTGGGAATGCAGTGGAATGAGTCCTGCGGCTTAGCTCGCTGCAATCTCCGCCTTCCTGGGTCAAGTGATCCTCCCTCCGACCCTCCCTGGGAGTAGCTGGGACTACAGGTGTGACTAATTTTTGTATGTTTTTGGTAGGAGGACGGTTTCGTCTATATTACCCAGCCTGAGTCTTTAACTCTGGGCTCAAACAATGCCTCCCATCTCAGAGAACCTCCACCAGTTGTGAGATTTACAGGTGTGCCACCGATGCCCAGCCAGGTTTTCCTTTTTAGGTTAATTGTAGGAGTCTTCCTTAATGATTCTGCAACATTCAATAATTTTCTTGTTTTGAGGAAGTGGGGGGATGGAATGATCTTCTCCAATTTTGTGATTGGTTTTTTCACTTGATTTTTTTTGTTTTTTTTTTTGAGACAGAGTCGTTGCTCTGTCGTCCAGTCGCGAGTCGTGCCAATTTCGGTCCTGCAGGCCTCTGCCTCTTGGGTTCAAGTTGATTATCTCCTGGGGCTTCAGGCTCCTGGTAGGCTGGGACTACCAGGGCGCACGCACCACACACCCAGGCTATTTTTGGTTATTTTTAGTTAGAGATGGAGTTTCACCAGTGTTGGTCAGGCTGGGTTTCGGAACTCCTGACCTCAAGTGTATCTGCCTGCCTCAGGGCCTCCAAAGTGTGGGATTATAGGTGGTGAGGCACCGCCCTGGTTTCACTTGATTTTTAAGGTACAATAATTGATACAGTACAGCAAGTGTGGTTAATATTACATTGTAGGTTCGATGGAGATTAACAAAATGAACACCTGTGGACTCTACACAAATCTTGGAGAATAGACATCGTATGCAATATTTTAGAAGCTTCTGTTGCAGCTTACCACAATCTTTTCACTTGTACTTTAAGTGGTGCAATTTCGGAATGTTAGTCATACTTACCCATCTATTCCTTTGAGTAGTAGTATTAAGAAATCCCCTCCCTATCCGGTAGGTCATTAGAAGATACTTCTCCTATATTTCTAAAGTTTTTGCCTTTATCATTTAATTTTTTTTTTTTTTTTTTGTTGAGATGGAGTCCTCACCTCTGTCGCCCAGGCTGGGAGTGCAGATGGCGCATTCAGCTCACTGCAAACCTCCGCGCTTCCCGGGTTCAAGCGATTCTCTTGCCTCAGCCTCCCAAGTAGGCTGGGACGTTACAGGGCACCACCACCGACGCGCGCGGCTAATTTTTGTACTTTTGAGTAGAGAGGCGGGTCTTCACCAGTGATTGGCCAGGCTGGTCTAACTCCTGAACCCGGCGCCGCCTTTGCCTCCAAGGGAGTGCTGGGATGTATAGCATGAGCCCGACGGCCGCAGCCTTATTTAATTTTTTTATTTTTTTTAGGCAGGTTCTCGCTCTGTGTCACCCAGGCTGGGTGCAATGTGTGTTGATCTCCGCTCCACTTGCCAGCGTCACCTCCCAGGTTCACACCATATCTCCTGCTCAGCCTGCCAAGTAGGCTGGGGATACGAGGGCGCCCGCCACTACGCCCAGCTAATTTTTTGTATTTTTAGTAGAGACGGGGTTTCACCATGTTAGCCAGGATAATCTCGGTCTCCTGATATCGTGATCCGCCTGCCTCGGCCTCCCAAAGTGCTGGGATTACAGGCGTGAGCCACCGTGCCAGGTCCCATTTAATTTTTTTTAATATAGATGGGGTCTCACTATATTGCCCAAGCTATTCTTGAACTCAAGAAATTCTCCTGCCTCGACCTCCCAAAGTGCTGGTATTACAGGCATGAGCCACTGTGCCCGGCCTCATTTAGGTTTTTAATCCACTTGGAATACCATTTTGTGTATGGTGTGAGATAAGAATCCAATTTAATTTTCCCAAGTGCCATCTCATCTTTTTTTAATTTAAAAATGTATTTTATTTTTGGCCGGGCACGGTGGCTCATGCCTCAGCACTTTGGGAGGCCAAGGCAGGTGGATCATGAGGTCAGGAGTTCAAGACCAGCCTGGCCAACATGGTGAAACCCTGTCTATACTAAAAATACAAAAAAATTAGCCGGCGTGGTGGCAGGCGCCTGTAATCTTAGCTACCTGGGAGGTTGAGGCAGAGAATAAAATGTTATTTTGGTTTTAGATGGGGTCTCTCTCTGTTGCCCAGGATGGAGTGTAGTGGTGCAATCATGGCTCACTGCAGCCTCGAACTCCTGGGCTCAAAGGATCTTCCTGCCCCAGCCTCCTGAGTAGCTGGACTACAGGTGTGTGCCACCATGCCTGGCTAATTTTTAAAATTTTTTTGTAGAGATGGGGTTTTGCTATGTTACCCAGGGCTCACCATCTCATCTTTTAAAAGGGAACAGTATTTCCCCATGGATTACATGAGATTGCTTTCCTTTAGCCATTTTATCCCCTCAGCCTGATTGTTTCTCCCAACTGAACTTCATTTATGGCTCCCCTACTAGATTCCATCTACCAAGCTTCCTCCCTTTATTTATTTTTGAGACAGGGTATTGCTCTGTCACCTAGGCTGGAGTGAAGTGGTGCAGACACCACTCACTACAGCCTCAGCCTTCCAGGCTCAAGTGATCCTCCTGCTTCGGCCTCCTGGGTAGACCACAGGTGAGAGCTGCCACACCCAGTTAATTTTTAAATTTTTAGTAGAGATAGGGTCTCACTATGTTGCCCAGGCTGGTCTTGAACTGCTGGTCTCAAGTGATCCTCCTGCCTTGGCCTGCCTCCCTCACGATGGGATTACAGGTGTCAGCCACCATACCCAGCCACTTCCTCACTTTCCTGGACTTGTCCTAAGTCTTTAGGACTCTTTCTAGCCTTCGGACATAATTTAATAAATAGTTAAAGGAATAATTATGGCAACCACCAGATCCTTTCCGTGTTTAAGTCTGAGAATGGCACCAACTTACCTACTGTTTCCACCTGCCACCACAGTATAAGGTCACTGAAGGGGAAGATTCAGCAGACATTCTAAGCTTCTTGGATTGCTAAGGCCCCTGCCTTATTAATGATAGAGAGCAGAGAGGGAAGAGAGGTAAGGTGGCATCGTGGTATAGAGCTGTGGGAATGGGATGGGGGAGAGGCATGGAGGGAGAGGTAGGTGGAGGTGGAGAGCACCGGCTTAGGGACCCTGACTCCTGGGGGTTCACACAAAATACCTTTCTCAGTAAGGAATCCCGATTTTGAAGCTCTTATGTTGGCTCTGCATGCAACTTTGTTCTTGGGTTACGGCGGCAGTTTCTGAACTCTGCTTGGTAGAACAGGAGGGAGGTAGCGGATAGGGGTAGTATCTCAGGCCGTAGCCTTCCCCAGCCTGTATCCCTGTTGCCTGGGAATAGCCCCAGCCCCATTCACACCCCATCCGCCTTGGCATCCCGTCCCGCCTCCAATCCCACCCCACCATTAGCAAAGTCTGAGCTCACCTAACACTGAATCCTCCCGTTGGCCCCTCCTTCTCGTCCAGCCCTCCGCTCCCCCCGGGTCCTTCCAATTCCCGCCCCTGTCCTTGTCCTAGCCGTGAAGGCTGGCCAGGCTAAACCCACAGCCGAGCTCCCACCTTCCTCTTGCCCTGAGGGGCATAATCCTGCTGTGACTTCTGTCTCAGCAAGCGTGAGCTCAGGTCTCCCCCGCCTCCTTGAACCTCAAGGGCTGCTCTGACTCCGCCCAGCACCAACTCCTCCGAGGACCTGGTCCACAGGAGCAAGTGTTTGTTGTTGCCATGCAACAAGAAAGGGGGGCGGAGGCACCACGCCAGTCGTCAGCTCGCTCCTCGTATACGCAACATCAATCCCCGCCCCTGGTCCCACTCCTGCCGGAAGCCGAAAATCCCGTTAGGCCCGGAGGTATTCTCGCGACATTTGCCGGCCGCCCGGCTTGCACTGCGGCGTTTCCCGCGCGGGCTACCTCGGTTCCCGGGCGTACGGCGCGGCCTGTCCTACCGCTGCCGGCGCCGCGGCCGTCATGGGGTTCCTGAAACTGATTGAGATCGAGAACTTTAAGTCGTACAAGGGTCGACAGATTATCGGACCATTTCAGAGGTTCACCGCCATCATTGGACCCAATGGCTCTGGTGAGATAAACCTGGCTGCGGCCCTGCGCACGTCCCGGCCTGGACCCCTTATCCGGTTCCGGAGTAGTACAACCCAGCCCATGTAACCTGAAACGTCGCGGACCCTTACGGGTTCCTTGCCCCTCCAGAGGGGGTTCTGCTCGAACCCACTCTCCCCACGCAGCTGCTCTAACTCGAACCCCTTCCAGGTGTCACTTGCCTCTTCCTGCGCGGCCCCCGCCCCGGCCGAGTGGTACGGGCCGAGCTGCCAGTTACCCCGCCTACTTCCCCCTCCCGCCAAAGTAGGCGCGTCTGGAGCCAGCTTCCCGCCAGCTGCCAGTCCCCCGCCTCGCGGCTCCCCGCCGCGCCGCCCGGAGCCGGCTTCCCAGGCTTATTTGACCCCCTCCGGAAAATGTGGGGACGCTGGTAGCTCTCCCGTAGCCTTCGGTCCCAAACGGTGCACTTCTGTTTCAGCCCAGCGTCTCCTCTCACCTCGCATTGGTACACTCCAACTCTTTCCTTTCTACTCTTCTCCGGAGGCGGCAGTTTTGTATTTCAGACCCAGCCCTCCAGACTTTAGAGTGCTTGAGGTCTCGATCCCCACCCCCAACTGCTATGTCAGAGGTAGTTGCCTCGAACTCGCCCCTTTCCTACCACCGAAACCGTCAAAAGCCGAAATTGATTTACCAAATTTGTTGAATGCTTTTTGTTTATCAGGAGTTATTCCATTGCAAGTTGTGGAAACAGCGGAAGATAGAATAAACCAACTCCATGCTCACAGGGAACTTATATTCCAGAGGGGAAAGAAGATAAGGAGAAAATAAGATGGTTTTAGGCTGTCATAGGTGCTATACAGGAAATGAGACCGGTGGATGTGATAAAGTGACTTAGGTGGTGTCTTTAGAAAGGGTGGTCAGGTAAAGCCTCTATTTTATATCTTAACTTCCCAACTCTAAACGATATACCGTGGATTCCTCTCACCTCAGATGTGGTTCTTTTGGAATCCTGCTGTATTCTTCCACCCCAGAGATGTTCTAACTGAATCATATCCTAGCCTAAGAGGCCGCCCTTGCTGAAGTAGCACATACGGAGTGCCTTTCCTGGAGACCGAGTGTCTCAACAATGGCACTATTGACGTTTCCAGCGAGATAATCCTTTGCTGTGGGATGTGCCCTGTGCATTCATTGTAGGATGTTTAACATCATCCTTGGCGTCTACCTGCTAGATGACAGTAGCACCCCTACTCCCCAGGCATGACAATCAAAACTGTCTCCAGACATTGCCAGACGTCACAGGGGATGGGTGTGACTCCCCCAAACACCCAACTTGTGAGAACCACTGGCCTGGAGGGCTAATGCTTGGTGTCCACCCGGTTTCCTAGAGTTTTAGTGTAGTGGCCCCTGTTGAAAGAGCTAGGATGTACCTCTTGGCATTCAGTCCCCTCAGCATTAGTAGATTTGTATTCCCAGCTGTTCTGAAAAGGGCCATGGCACTCCCCCACTTGCCCTCGTTCTTCAAGGCCCACCTCTACAAGCCATTCTTTTAGTCCCTTTGGTGAATTACTCTTCCTCTGTGGCATACTGTAGACACTTGGTACACATTAATGTTTATTAAGTCTTATATTGATGGTGCATGTTTTTGTATCTTCATTGGCCTGTGAGTACCCTAAAGCAGACATTCCTTGAAACGTACTGGTGTTCAGTCCATAATATATATTACAAAAATGTTTACCATATTGATTGTGATTAGAGAGGCCTGTGGTTGTGTAATGTTGTTGTCATCCCTGGAAATGATGGGAGAAGCCCAAAGGTTGGATATTGGTTCTTCCTAAAAGGCTGACTCCTGGTCTGCATGATGTGCTAGTCCTGCTGTGATGAGGGAGACAAGAGTTGAGTCCAGACTTAAGATAGGACTAATTAATTGAGTACCTACTCTGTGTGTCAAGTACTTTATTTATTGGGACCCTATTTTTTCTTTTTCTTTTTCTTTTTTCTTTTTTTTTGAGACAGTCTTGCTCTGTTGTCCAGGCTGGAGTGCAGTGGCGTGATCTTGGCTCACTGCAACCTCTGCCTCTTGGGTTCAAGTGATTCTTGTGCCTCAGCCTCCTAAGTAGCTGGGACTACAGGCATGCGCCACCCCATCTGGCTAGTTTTTGTATTTTTAGTAGAGATGGTGTTTTGCCCCGTTGGCCAGGCTGGTCTCAAACTCCTGGACTCAAGTGATCTGCCTGCCTCAGCCTCCCAAAGTGCTGGGATTACAGACATGAGCCACTGCACCCAGCCAAGGGACCCTTTACATTTAAATTCTCAAAATGACCCTAGGAAGGAAATGCCAATAGCTTCTTTTTTTTTTTTTTTTTTTGAGACGGAGTCTGGCTCTGTCGCCCAGGCTGGAGTGCAGTGGCCGGATCTCAGCTCACTGCAAGCTCCGCCTCCCGGGTTTACACCATTCTCCTGCCTCAGCCTCCCGAGTAACTGGGACTACAGGCGCCCACCACCTCGCCCGGCTAGTTTTTTTGTGTTTTTCAGTAGAAACAGGATTTCATTGTGTTAGCCAGGATGGTCTCGACCACCTGACCTCATGATCCGCCTGTCTTGGCCTCCCAAAGTGCTGAGATTACAGGCTTGAGCCACCGCGCCTGGCCAATAGCTTCTTTTTATACATGAGGAGACTAAGGCACAGAGGTGTGATGACTTGTCCGTGGTTCTCAGAACCCATGCCTGTGCTCCTGCCACTCCAATAGAGAAGTATGTGCCACACATATTTTTAGACCTGTGAGTTGTGATTTTTTCATCTTTTTCCAGGTGAGAGAATGGAAGGTCACCTAAGAAGTAGTGAAAGAGTAGTGAAAGTAAGATTAGATCCTGGTCTGTTGGTTCTAAGCCGAAGCTTTCAAGCTTTTTTTTTTGAGACTGAGTCTCACTCTGTCACCCACGCTAGAGTGCAGTGACGTGACCTCGGCTCACTGTAACCTCTGCCTGCTGGGTTCAAGTGATTCCTTTTTTTTTTTTTTGAGATGGAGTCTCGCTCTGTCACCCAGGCTGGAGTGCAGTGGTACCATCTCAGCTCACTGCAACCTCTGTCTCCTGGGTTCAAGCGATTCTCCTGCCTCAGCCTCCTGAGGAGCTGGGATTACAGGCTTGTACCACCATGCCTGGCCAATTTTTGTATTGTTAGTAGAGATGGGGTTTCACCACGTTGGTCAGGCTGGTCTCAAACTCCTGACCCTGTGATCTGCCCACCTGGGCCTCCCAAAGTGCTGCAATTACAGGTGTGAGCCACCACTCCTGGCCTTCTTTTTTTTTTTTTCCCGTGGAGTCAAGGTCTTGCTCTGTCACTAAGGCTGGCATACAGTGGCACAGTCATGGCTCACTGCAGCCTCAACTTTCTGGGCTCAAGCAACCCTCCCATCTCAGCCTCCCCAGTAGCCAGGACACCTGGAGTGTGCCACCATGCCCAGCTAATTTTTGTATTTTTTGTAGAGATGGGATTTTGCCATGTTGTCCAGGCTGGTCTCAGACTCCTGAGGTCAAGTGATCCACCCACGTCTGCTTCCCAAAGTGCTGGGATTACAGGCGTGAGACGCCATGCCCAACCTAATCATAGTCTTATACCGTCTCCATGGAGGGACTTGGGCTGCTATTTTTATGGCTGAGTAGAAAGGTGTTGGAAGTCAGATCTTCAGTTCAAAGTCATATATAAGTTGTTTAGGGACAGTCTTGAGATAGAAATTATAGAGACTAAACTGTTCCTCCTTATGCACCAGCCCGACTAAACTTTTCTTTTCTTTTTTTTTTTTTTGAGACAGAGTCTCTCTCTGTCGCCCAGGTTGGAGTGCAGTGGTGTCATCTCGGCTCACTGTAACCTCCATCTCCTGGGTTTAAGCAATTCTCGTGCCTCAGCCTCCTGAGTAGCTGGGATTACAGGCACGCAACCATGCCTGGCTAATTTTTGTATTTTTAGTAGAGACGGGGTTTCACCATGTTGGCCAGGCTGGTCTCAAACTCCTGACCTCAGGTGATCCACCTACCTCGGCCTTTCAAAGTGCTGGGATTACAGGCATGAGCCACTGTACCCGGCCTCAACTTTTAAAACAATATCTATTGTTTTGGCCTGGAATGGTGGCTCATGCCTGTAACCCCAGCACTTTGGGAGTCCAAGGTGGAGGATCTCTGGAGCTCAGGAGTTTGAGACCAGCCTAGGCAACATAGGGAGACCCTGCTTCTACAAAAATCCAAAAACTAGCTGGGCATGGTGGCTCATGCCCATGGTTCCAGCTACTTGGGAGGCTGAGACAGGAGGATCACTTGAGCCAAGGAGGTCCAGACTGCAGTGAGCTGTGATACTGCTACTGCACTCCAGCCTGGGCGACAGTCAGACCCTGTCTCAATAAATAAATAAATAAGGTCTGGGCGTGGTAGCTTACGTCTGTAATCTCAGCACTTTAAGAGACCAAGGTGGGTGGATCACTTGAGGTCAGGAATTCGAGACCAGCCTGGCTAACATGATGAAACCCCATCTCTACTAAAAATACAAAAATTAACTAGGTGTGTTGGCACACGCTTGTAGTCCCAGCTATTCAGGAGGTTGAGGCAGGAGAATCACTTGAACTTGGTAGATGCGATCTCGGCTCACTGCAAGTGAGCCCAGATTGCGCCACTGCACTCTAGCATGGGCAATAGAGCAAGACTCCATCTCAAAAAATAAATAAAATAAATAAAACTTTTTTTGTTTTCAGATTCAAAATAAATAAAATCTTTTTTGTTTTCAGATTCTAAAATGAAGAAAATAAAAGCTGTAACTCCACTACTGAAAAGATAGCCACTGTTAATGTTGAAAACCTTATTTATTTGAATAGCTGATACATGCACATGGTATACAATTTTAAAAATCCTTAAGGATA